AGTCTGCAGAAAGCTGATCAAATTGGACTGTGAGTACAAATTAGTCGACCGGATGGACAATGAAGCTAACTTTGGCGCCCTTTTTTAAGTTCAAAGTTAGAAATAATGACTCTAATTCATTATTTTCTGGGGAACCGAAAGCTGATTTTTAATTAAGGAAGTAGTTTCCTGATTTCCCCTCCGCTTTGTGAAAGATCAACCTTTTAATTTGATATATCTACTGACTTTTTTCTGAGATAATGATGTTTACTTTGAGTACGGAAGCATCGAACTTGTATTATGCTCAAAACCTGCTGCAAAACAGTTTCTTCTAATGAAACTAACTAAAGAGAAAATTTCTTCTTTTGATTTTTAAAACGATGCTTAAAAAAGGACAGTACTAATTATGCATAATAAAGGTTGCTGAAGATATGTTCACCAATATTAGCTGGCTGATTAATCTATATTTGACTTAACTGGATGCAATTTGTTTAAAAAATTCCGAGTTTAGCTTTATAATTTTCAGATACCGGCTAGTCATTTGCCCCTTAGTGGGTTCAAAGACAACTCAAGTAATAGTTCGCAACGATTATGACACAGTTTGGGTTTAGAGCACATCGCGAAATATTTTTTGAGACTCGTAATAGTTTTGTTTTTAATTTTTTAATTTCGAAAAAAAACTCGACACTGCTAGTGCAAAAAAAAAACTGGATTCGCATTTGATTTTACATTAGAAACCGCCTTTTGATTTTCAAATTTTCAAAAACTTTCTTCAAAGAATTCCATTTTTGCAATTGGCTTAAAATAATATGTAAATTTTGCAATTGGCTTAAAAATTTGCGGCCAATTTAGTAAAATTTTTCAATCGTTTAAAAACATATGAGAAGTATAAGTATGTAAATTGTTTTTGAGGAATTACTGATCTGTCAAAATCGTTATTGCAGTTATTGCTAAACTCAGGTTTATGATTCAACCGGTTTTTGAGAAACGTCATCTTAGACTGGGCCAGTTATTAATCTCTTACACTTCCATAAGCATGAAAAAAAAATTTCGAATTTTGTAATTTAGCCAACCTGATAAGAAAGAATATATTGATCAAAGTTGTTAATTTTGTTTTTAAACGGATCAAAGATGCCCGAGCAGATTAAACACCGAAAAACGCTTTTCATTGCAAAACACGCGCCTTCTTCAATTTGGCAGGAACTATGTTTTGCCATAACTAGGTTGAAAATCATCAGCTACAATTAAACGCAGCAGTGCAATGCACTTCAGTTGCCTACAGTTGCTCTCAAAATTCTAGATATTTCATGTTAAACAGTTGACACAGAAAAACTCCCTTAGCTCTCAACGTTCATGGTACCCAAAATAAAAAATCAACCATAACTCGAAAAATTATTCACCTTGAATACTGATTGATTGGAACGTAAGCCAACTAGTTGAATTGTTTTTTTTTGTTAAAACTGCAAAATAAAACTAAACTAATCCACTTTCTTTTCCAATAACTTTAGCGACCATGCCTCAGCTGCAGAACGACCATGCATCAGAGGCTGTGCAAACCTATATGGAATGTTTCACGCAGCTCGCAAATGCCAGGCATGTAACGACTTTAAAATTGCGTAAAATTGGCTTCGTAGCTTTTACCCATTTGAACAGTATTTGGAACTTATCCGACAGCTTCTTTATCTTGGGACTCGTCGGCAGATTTTTCATTTAGGGAGCATTGAGGCATCAATGGCGCCTAACTTGCTCACGAAACTTAATTTTGGGGAGTTTCGATAAGCATGCGTGTCTATTAGCATGTGATAATTGTTTTAGTTAGGAGCGCCTTTAGACTACAGGCAATTTAGCCTGTATCAAATATTCGATGAAGAGAAGGTAGTTCAAATTGCACACAAGAGCACACAAAAACATCTTCAGTAGTGAGCTAGTCAATTGTTTTCTTTTAAATGGGAATGCTTATTGTAACATGCTAATAAACCGGACTACTAAATAGGCGTCTAAAAAAACAACACAATTCCCCGTTGTAATAAATTGAAAAACCTATTGATCAATGTTTTATTTCATTTCTATTGCTTAAAAATGTTTTCTGTTAAGCACTCTGCTAATTGCAAGGAACAAAATAAGCAATTAAATATAGCAAAAAGTAGTTTAATTGGTAATTAGGCATTTTTTTGTTTAAGAAATCTTGTGTTCCAATAGTTGCAAGCTTAAATGAGTTGAAAATAAATTTGATCGAATGCATGCCAAACAACGTAAATACAGTTCAAATGGAAACAAATAGAAATTGGTTAACAGTAAAAAATGGGCTATTTGGCTCAAAAAGGGGGGATAAAGTTTAACAAAAACTAAATAAGTGTTTACATATGAACTCATTAGATCATTCAGCAAAAAAGAGCTATAAAATGAATCAGTCTGGAGAAGCTATTCAACTTATTTAGATTGAAAAAAAAATTGAGATGCAAAACAAGCCGGCAACAGGAGCGGATCTATATTTTCTAAAGGGGCATGTTTTCAAAAATGTTGTCGATATTTTTTTAAGTCGACCCAATGAGTTTTCGATGCTTAAACTTTTGACAAAGAGGCGGACTCACATTGCGGTACAAAAAAGTGAGTGAAAAAAATGCAAGAAAAAAGTTTGCATTTTTGACATAGAGGCAAAGCAGAGCTTCGCAATACTTTGCGGTACAAAAAAGAGCATGAAAAAAAGTATAAAAAAAAGTTCTGAAAAATTGTTGGAAAAATTTACTTGAAAAATTAACTAGATAAAAGTTGAAAAATTACCGCAGCAAAAAATTCACATTTGCATCGAATGATTTTCATTAACAGCCCTTAAAAAGAAGAAAGCATTTACAGAGAGGCAACAAAGGCGAGAAAGTTTGGTTCGAAACCAGTTGAGCCGAATCAAAACTGCTGTCATGAAAAATTTCATAAAAATTAAGTCTTTATGACCCATCCAATTGAAACATAAAATCCCAAACGGATATATTTTTCCCTCGAAATAACGCAACATAAGTTGACATAGTCGATAAAACATAAACTGAAACTGTTTCAATATTTAAGGAAAAAAAAAACGAAAAAAAAAATTGAAAAAAGAACTCAATATCAGACATGGTAAATTTAAGAAACTCATAGTAAAAACTGTTTACATTGAAACTAAAGGCATGCTTTTAAAAGTAAACCAAAACCAAAAAAAACCCTACCAGATAAAAAATGGCGTTACAAAAACAGAAAACGAACCGAAAGAAATTAGGACGAAAACAACGAACCCGAAGAAAAAAGTTTTGCAAGATAATTACAATTGAAACGGGCTTGAACTAATTATTACTTAAGTGATAGTATTTATATATTTAATTTGAAAGACCCTGTAGAAGTTAAGATTCTCTAGAAGAAGTGAAGATCCTGTGGACAAAGTTGTTTACGGGAAAAAAGTCTAATACCCGATTGTACTACCCTTGCTTATCGCAGGGGTAAGGAAACAGCTCGAATTCCGATTTTGGACACTTTTTGGTAAGCTTTGACCAAACAAAATTGCGTATATTTTTGGTGCGCGCTCCCATTCAAAATTATTATGTATTGGCGATTATATTAATATTTTAGAAAATTAAGGATTGGTCGGCCGAAAATGGATTTCATGAAATAAAACTTTAGGGGGACCCTTTGGTTGGTAAAGGGGTCGAATCCCTGAAAGGGAGTGGCGTCAACTCCCACCCCCAGAATCCATACCTGGGCGGCTGTCGCATAAAACTTAAACAAAATCTACCGATTACAAATCTACTTTTTTTCAATTAGGCCTAAACTTAATTTAAAGCCCAGAGTGTTGAGTTTCGGTTCAAGAATTTGAGCAAAAATATTCTAGAAAACTTTTCATCATATTTTAACAGGGGCAATATACTTGAAAAATAAAAAGCGTTGCTTAGCAATAAAAGTTAGAGAAGTATATGAAAACGGCCAATCATTCAAAAAAGTTAATACGCTATTTTGGAGACGCTTTTTAACATCGCAACAACAGCTGTGGCTCCCGAATTGATCACGATGCCAGCAGATTTTAACTAACTGCCGCATATTAACAAATTCTAGGCGCATTTACTTAGTAATAAATACGGACAGGACAGCATGAATGTTTTTTTTTGACGAAATTAAAAATTTCGCAGTTCAAATTAGGCAATGAAATTATGCAAAAAACTCTGCGCTCCGGGAGGATTCAGTAAATATTTTAAAATATTTTTCTCGCCAATACATACTTTTTTTAGGAAAAGAGCAAGCAGATCTTTCTCAACGTGCGCAAAAACAGCAATTTTGTCACCTTACATCAAATATTTGTCTTCGGAGCAGCCTAACAAAAAAGTTGCATGATAAACGAACAAAATTCTCTCATGTGAAAAAGTTTATATTCGAGCTGTTTCGAAAATTTTTTTAGCCTAGCTTTCATCTTGAATAAAGGCAACCACGTGCTTTTAGAAAGCATAGCTTAGCCAAAAAATATTGGCGTAATATGGCAACGACCACTGACAGTTGGTAGAAACTATTTCTCGGTTGAGTTTTTGTTTTTCCCCGTTGCAAAACCAGGTATCACAAATAATCGGTTGAGTATAATAAATTCCATTGATTTATGATTCGAATGACATCAAAATTTTTCCAAATAGTTTTGCAAGTATAGAGACAAAACGGTTGAAAATTTGTGATTTTTGGTCTTACTTTTAGCAAATAAATCCAGAAAATAGTCTTATAATAGGGTGATAATCTTATTTGAGCCAAAAAAAAAAAGTTATATTTCAAGTTTCTGTTGAAAAATATTTTCTGCAAACTCTTTTAAGCTTGTTATTTTCTTTCAATTCAAGAAAAATGGAATATGCCTATTTAACTATACCTATAGAATATGCCTCCAGATCTTTTTATCCCACCTCGAACAAAAACACGACACATTTGAAAATAATAGAAAATAATATAAGTTTTTTATTAGTGGTCTTTCACAGCAACCAGCTATCACTATTTAACTGCTGTTAGCAGCTTTTTTGAAAGAATTATGGAAGAAAATTGAATTGGTAAAATTGATAGGGTTGAATATTGTAAGCACATATGTTGGGTAAATTGTGGTATTGCCTATCAATATTAGACACAACTAAACAGCTATTTTAGTTTGTGGATCATGGAGTTTTTAAAAATGTTTTCTTAAGCAAATCATCATAATATTATATGACTAATCAAAAATTAATTTTTCCATGTATCCACTAGTGTGTATTTGCATATTTATACGTATAAAATTCTGCAAAAAAAATTAATTAGATAATAGTAATAGGGGTCAAAACATTCCTAAACCCGACATGTTATCTATACCGTTGCTAGGATAGGCGTCTAGCTGGAATACTTCAATTTTGCATCGGTCTAATGGTGCAAGTTTTTGGTTAAAATCTCGAGTTTTCAAACTTGATTGATAAAGGTAAGCACAGAAAGAAACTGGTTATAGAAATGATCATTACTAAGTACTACTAGTTTTCTAACACCAATTTTGAGAGGGAAAAGCTATGCCAAGTGGTGTAACTGCTCTGCATATAAATTCATTTAATACGCATTGCATTAATACTAATATCCAATCACTCGCTCAAGCGAAAGTGAACACATTCAATTTACTTCAAGGGAATAACACGAAACTTTATTTAGTAGATGGCAGAAAACGTTCAAAATTAAAAGCAACAACAGTCAGGAAAAAAAACTGTGTCCAAATTACGACAAATTTATGATCATGAAGCTCTTCAACTTTGCAAACTGAACAATTTAATAGCAACAACACTGGTTTCATTAACTTTCTTGATAATTAAATATGAATGCTAGATCGATCGATAAATAGTACATACGATATTAATTCTAGTCCTTCAAAATACAGTCAAGTTCTCTCACGCTGCGCTATTTTTGTTTTCCGCCTCTGGATCTTGCACTTGAAGCGTCCCGTTGAACACTTGGACTTCGCTCTCGTCGCCATCTGCCAAATCTGGAACATCAACTTGGACATCCTGTTGACATCTCTCGCTCGCCTGTTCGTAGCTCGGCGGTGGACCATCCATGTTTTCGGTTCCCTCGATCACAGTTTCGGCCGACGGAACTCCCGGTTCTGCCAATGGTGGTGCATCGTACCCTGGACAATCCGGAGCCAATCCCGAGTATCCCGGGCACGCCTCGTCATTCACAGTATTCCCCGAGTTGCCAGCAGTCGAGGTCATGTTGACGATCATGAATTTCTTACCCTGTGGATCCTTCGCCACCTCTGAGTAATTCGGAAGCTTGAAAGGGGCAGTAGAAGCTCCACCAGTTCCAGGATTGGAGGCATCGTCGCCATTCTGGTCATCACGATCCAGTTCTGTTAGCCAGTTCCCGGACACTGGTGGGTTCACTGATCCGTCCGGTCCCCAAAAAGCAGCACTTCCAGCCGCATTCGCCAGATTATTTACTCGGCGCATGTTCTCTCTGTTGCGTCTCAGAATGAACTTGTAGCACCTCCAGACGATGCTTAGAGTGTAGATGAGGATGTTGAGATAGAGGAAAAAGAAGAGAACTGTTGCCAGGAGCCCATATCTGGATGCCGATAAAGACGCCATTGAGTCAATATCTTGCATTTCGCTCGTTTGGTCATTCGATTCCACTCGTTCTCCGTCTTAAAAAAGTTATCATTTATATATCCTAAAAATCTTTTAGTCTCTAAAACAAAAAGAAATGGTTTTTCAATTAAAAATCTGAAGTTGTATTATAAATGTTTCGTCAATGTTGAAAGTTATCGAGAAATGGACCCGACACAATCACACTGACAAGTCAATATATCGCAATATTAGAACCAATGCTAACAGCTATCGGCTTCAGTATGCGAAAGGAAAGTTAATTAAACGCTTACTTTGATCACTGATGATGAGCTCTGGCTCTCGCTCATATTCTCGAACTGTATGTGAGAACAAATTGGCAATCCCCAAAACAGTTTGAAGTAGATTAAAGAACCTGATGCACATGAAAGGCATCAAGTACATCGACTTGTAACTGTGTGCTCCGTAGACCAACATCGTCGCCACAGCTATTTGTAGAAAATGCTTCAAAGGTTCCACACGGCTCGACGCCATTACATACTGCTGTTGATCCTCGTCCGAATGCTCACTTGTAGTCGACATCTTCTCAGCTCCGTCGCCTAGAGTTTCCGGCTGGGGATTGACAGGCGGCGGAACGTACGTCATCGAACTATTTTGAGTTTGCAGACCAACTTGAGTGAGTGGTATGAAAATAATCGAACTAGCGTTTGCTGCAATCAGAAAACAGCCGAGAAGAATTGTGGCGAACCTCACGTGCAGGCAGAGACAACATCGCTCTTGCTCCGTGGTTGGAGTTACTTGCAAGTTGCGTAGAAATGACATCGCCCTTTGAGACGATAAACAAAGTTCTTTTCTGGTTGAGTTTTAGTTGCTTAAAAGCACAGCACAGTTACCTGTGCGATAATAAATTCGAAACAGACTATCTGAAAAAAAATTAATTTAAATTCTACTCTTTGCTGTAAAAGAAAAAAGCTAATGAATTTCTCGACCTAGTTTAAATTAAATTTGAAACGACCAATCGATATAAAGATCATTTCTCGCTTTAAATGTCAAGTTGGGTACCACTTAACTGTAGATTTAAAAATTTAAGTCCCCCAAAGCTTTGAAAAGGGCAACATTTATCGTAGCTATAATTTCCTAACATTACAATCCGATCTAGTACAACAGGCCGACGATTCTTTCAGTCTAACTTTGAACATTTTCAGCTGGCATAATAATTTCAACCACATTCAGTTAGCTGCATATTCTTATTCCTATACTCGAACGATTCGGCCTCATACTGATTCGGTTACGAGCCCTATACCTGTTCCAATTGCTATGGAATTGGACTGGAAATTAATGGAGTTTTAGAAAGGTCCGTTTCCTGTTTAAAGCCATCTAAACCCATGCTCCCCCTTTGCAAACAGCCAAACAAACTGATGAAGACATTATAAAGGATGTACATTATCTTTAAATAATTACTCTTTCAAATATAAAGAGCTTCGCTTCGCATGACAAGCTATAAAGAAAAGACGCCGACCAATTGTTGGAAAATGCTCTGAACTCATGACTGATAATCTGATAAATGCGTCTCTATCATTTAGGTAGAAAGTTCAAATTAATACAGGCAACAGCATTTGTTAGCAATTACCCAAAATGTAACAAAAACAGCAATCAACAGAATTTTTAAATAGCAATGGCGAGTAACGCACCTCTGGTGCTTCAAATTTTTGACAGGTCATAAAAAAAACTATTATAATGGAAATAAGATATGCGTCATTTGAGTGTACTCTGATAGCACCCAATAACAGGGTTGGCAATTTCAGTTTTGTAAAATATTCTAAGATTTTTTATTCAAATTTTGAAAAACCAGAAAATGAAGTTTGTGAAGTTCTTTGAACATTTTTCAAATTACATAAAAAAATGTCTAATCTTGAAATTTACAAGCTATTGAGCAGTCGCAATTGGACTAAATTTGCAGTTCTTGAGAGTAATCTCACAGTAACCAAGAACCCCCAACTACAGGGTTAGTAATTTTAAAAAGTTTTCTGAAATTTTTTATGAAAAAATCACAAAAAAAACATCATATCTCGAAAACAGCAACGATTTGAGTAGTCAAATTTGGAGACTAAATTTGCAACCCCAGGGAGTACCCTTTCAAAGCCTCACTATAGAGATGAAAGCTTCAAATGTTTTAAAATTTTTATATCTAAGTTCTTTGAATAATTTAAAAGAAAAAGATATAACATACGTAACATCTTGGAAACTAAGAACCTTTGAGCAGTCGCATTTGGACGCAAAAATTGCAACTCGGAACTCCTGAGAGTCCCCTCACAGAGCCCAACTTTAAGGTTGGGAATTTCAACTTTTGTGAATTACTGAGGTTATCTGAAAAATCACAAAAATCGTCATATTTCGTCAACTAAAAGGATTTAGGCATTCATAAGTCACAGCCGTGATAGCATCCCACTTTTGGGTTGCTTATTTTAAACATTAATTTCAAAATAGAAAATCGGAAAAAAATCTTAACCATTTCAACATACGATATAGCTTAAACGTGCAAAAATTCTTTTGTTGAACATGCAAAAATAATACGTTGAAAAAGCTTAAACATGGCGAGATAGTGAAGCCCGCATTTAAATATATAATAGATAATATATTACAAAAAATCAACACAATTTACGCCATAGAAAAACAATTATAAAAAATTTTAAACTGATGAATAAATAAACCGGGAGAAACGCTCTCTGATGCAGAAATACTATGACTGAAACTTGGAAAAGTAAAATTAAAACAGACTGAAAATACAGCATAAAAAAGCTAGTAACATTGGTGGCTTTTTATGCTAAATTTTCAAAGTAAAGATAGCTTTCCGGTTAGAATTATCTACAATTGTTTCTCGATGATAGCTGGTGATACATTGAATTAACTTCAGCATAAAAGAAGTCGTTAAGAATGACAATTTCATTCATACTCTGAAATTTATAATGAAGAAAATGAATTGAAAAACATCGAAATCGCAAGCGTAACTGAAGAAAAAAAAACTATTTGCTCATAGAAGCTCATTTCACTGCACAGGCACACTTGTCTTAAGGAATCCTCCCCACCTGCAATTAAGAATTTGTAGAATTAGGACAATACAGTGTTTGTAATTTCATTCTTTTCCTTCTTTAAACACAGAGTCGAAGCGCAAGTGTAGCACTTTCGATATAAAAAAACTTTCGATATAAAATTATGGCAAACTAGATGACAAAAAACGAGACGAAAGCCGCTTAGTGCAAAAAAAATTCAATCAAAAGGTTTGAAAGTTTCTCTCGATTGGCAATGAATAGTTCAGGGAAAAAAATGCGAAAATAACATCGGATAAAAACTGTCAAAACTGGTTGCTTTGTAAAATTACTAAAAACTTTTATCAAATCGAGTTCCAACTTTTCTACACAAGTAGAACCTTCGCTTCGCAAACACTTGCGAGAACACGACAAAAAGCAGCTCTAATGTGCAATAATAAAATTAAGAAATAAGCCTCGAAGTAGTAAAAAAAAATTCGGCAACCTCTGAGATTCAAACCTGCGACCTAGCGATTGAGAGACCAACACACTCACCGCTCATCCACGGAAGCTTACTAGGTACCAAACACTAGCCACAAATTAAGCAGAGAACAGATGCTATGCAATTTCCAATGCTTCATTGAAATTTCCAAATAAGTGAACACTTTTATTTGCGAATTAGATTTGAAAAAAGAAGGTTTGTAATAACACACTAAGATGATCGCAAGTATAAAAAAGCAAATACTGTTGGAAAAGAGTCGATGAACGCAAAGAAACAGAAAAAATGAATTTCGAAATTCAAAAACAAAAACATATGCTTTAAAGCTCTTCAAATTTCAAGAACAACTTATTACGCGCACTTTTTTTGATAGAATTAATTTATTTCGAGTGTAAGGTAAAGTTTTTCTGCTGGGAAATTTAAAAATTAAATTCAAAATTAAAAATCGATCACGTTTTTTCACGCCATTTACTCTTTGTTAATTTGAGATGGAACTTTGACTGCATTTTAGCAAATGAAATTGAATTGAAAATGAACATATATCTACGGACATTCATAAAAGCATTAATTTGTATGAATGCACTTTCTGTAGTAATCAGAACATTTTGAGGCTTTTCCTGAAAAAAAAATTGAACAACATATGTTCAAAATGCATACATGCTCAAAATATAACTGTTGCAATAAAATATTGCTAAAAGAGGTATCTCGGAGATGACTCCTAAACACAAAGTTACGGGATAAAAAAATCGTACCAAGTTTCATTACCTTTGTAAGGGACAATTAAATCACGCAAAACCAAGGTACCACAAATTAACGTCCGATTACGTGGAATGAAACATCACATGAAAACCTTTTTAGGACACGATTCGAGGTGCAATAAAAAAATTGGAAACAGCATCAGGGGCAGAAAACAATCCAATAAAGCAATTTTCGCATTTTATTATTTACACAGAAGTGAAGCTGCACTTTGTAAATACAAGCAAAAAAAAGACAAAAACTAGCTCTAAAAAGTGAAATAAGAAAAGGTTTAAAATAAGTTGATAAAAAGTTTTGGTATGTGTCGGATTCGAGCATCCAACCTCGGGATATGGTGTCGCACGTCCTCGCATCTGCGCCACAGGCTCTTGAACGTTTGATAACTCTAGCCACCAATAAAGCAGCTAAAAATGCTGATAAATTGCCAATGATATGCAGCAAAAACGTCACCGAAATATAAATAAAACTATTGCTAAGTGCGGCATTGAATCTCCGACCAGCAGAATGGGAGCCTCACTTCTTTACCTCTAAGCCACGGTCACTTGAAGATCCGCAACCACTAGCCACCAACAAATCACACAACAGACGCTATGAAATTTCCAATGCTACAGATAGCGATGATTGCAGAAATACCACCATATGAGCATTCATATTTGCGACTTTGGTTGGAAAAAAAAATATTTATTACACTACGCTAGCTTGCTAATAACTACAATACGCTCGTGTGAACTGCAAATAATGCACTCTACGAGATCATAACGAGTCTTTCAAAATTGTATGGCAATTTAACTAGTGTTGCTTAAATAGATTTGTTAAAAATTCAACCAATTCGAAATTAAACTATAACGTGGTATCAATTTTAGCCTAGCAATTCTGAAACTCAATCCCATCCTAGCATTGTCTTCCTTCTTCAAATAATAACGCAGGTTGTATGCTCGTAATCGATTTGTTCTCAAATTTCAAGAGTTTTTTAACAGTTTTCGTCGGATTTTTAATTTTATTTTGTGTTTTTACGGACTACTCCTTTTGGGTTTCAGGCTTCATCTCCAAACTACTCTTTAAATAATTGGCCAATCGGTCAAATAGAATTTTTTTCCAAAACAACAAAATTCATCAGCAACTTAATTGCTCAAAAAACAGCAACGCTTAAAATAATAATAATCTTGATCACATTTGGAAATATTGACACTTCAGCTCACGCAAAACTTGTCAACTCTAAAATAAAAACTTTCTTAGCAATTAATCATAACAAAATTACAAAACTGATATTGTTAATATTTAAGTCTTTACAATTTCGAACCTGTTGAATGACAAAAGATATCTCCATTTTCTTTAAAATAGCGAATTTCTTCTTCCGTGTAGTCCAATTCTGTCAATACCTCTGAAGTATTAAATCCAATAGGTAGAACTCGAGCTGACTCATCTTTGTTTAAAGCACCAGGCGTTCGACCAAGTTTAGGAGCTACATTGGGAACATTGACTCCAGACTTAGTATGAACAAATGATTCGTTTTCTTGATTATGCTTCAGTTCGTAGGCTTCGCTTAATTCCAAAACAGGAGTAACACAAGCATCTACATCGGCAAAAATTTCAACCCAATCTTTCATTGATTTTGCAGCAAATTTCGCTTCAAAATCTGATCGCATTTCGGGCCATTTATTTCTATCCATTTGATCTTCAGTGGAGTAATTGTTATCTAAATCTAACTTTTGAACTAACTTGATGAAAAAGTGGGGCTCGAGGGAGCCAACAGCCATGAATCTGCCATCTGATGTTTTGTACGTGTCATAAAATGGACATCCGCCATCTAACACATTTTGACCTCTGCTGTCTTGTGTTATGAACGGAAGAAGATGCTTGGAGTGGAATAGAAACGAAGCTATGTATGCAGCACCTGCCGTCATACTGCAATCAACTATTTGGCCTTTTCCGCTTTTCGTTCGTTCCAAAAGAGCCATGACAATGCTAAAAGCACACATCAAGCCCCCACCGGCAAAATCAGCCAGCAGATTTTGAGGAGGTGTTGGTTTGGAGCCAGCTCTTCCAAGTCTACTGAGGACTCCCGAAAGCGACAAGAAGTTGATGTCATGGCCCGCCATTGAACTCCAATTGCCTTTTTGTCCATAGCCGCTCAGCCTTAACACCCATGTTTAATAAAATCCCTTGAGTTTACAAGCGATCAGTACTGGGGCAAAAAACTTAGGAAAAAAATGACCAGCCTAGCTTTCACTATGTTAAACAAAGATTTCAAGATAAACTTGATTGCTTTGATGCCCTTTTAGGGTCTATGAACAAGGATAGAGGGTTTCTGTGAAGTAGCACGGAAAGTTCCGACCTGATTTAAAAATATTCAACACAGACGTAAAGCTGGTCTTGCGATACAACAATTATAGGAGTAAAACAGCATGACGCTCAAGATTAGGCAAAAATGACTTCGCACGATGTTTCCTTTAAAGAAAGAACAAGGAAAACGAAATTTTGTTTAAATTTATTAAAAACTTTTTAAAGAAGTCCACCAATGGGATTGATTTTGAGCAGTCTAAAATTTGCGGCAGAATTCTTATCAATCTCAAAAATAAAATGGGAAATTTGTAGTAAATGGTTAATTAAGCTGACAGAATTAAGGCCAACAGGTAGAACCCAATAGCATTTTTTGGCAAAATCTTATAGGAAACAAGAATACCGCCCACATACAATCCACGAGTGCCATATATGTACTGAATGCAAGGTGATACAAAAAAATATGGAAACTAAGCCGAGAGGTTAATCGACAACCATAAAGACGAAAAACCATCATCGAAATTATATAATAGTAGATACAACTAGATCTATGAAAACAAATGAAGCAAATTTTGAAATCAAACACGATCATCAGATGTAGCTTCGGAAGAAGGCTTAAAAAGCGGTATCAAAACTGAAAATACCTGAGCAGAAAACGTTCAACAGAAGAAAAATTCGGAAATTTCCTTGATTAGGCAAAAAGGCAAAAAAGAATTTTGAACAAATCAATTTGCCTAAACTACAACCGTCATTTTTGGCTCTTGAATTAAGCCAAAAAAAAACTTTGAACGAATCGATTTTGTAAATTTACAACCAATATAAATGCAAAATTGGAGTATGACGGATAATTAAAACACTAACATGATCTTAATATGTAAATTGCTGTGTTACCAACAGATAAGACCAAGAGATCAATGAGTCCAGTATATGATTCATCCGAGCAAATTTAATTATGGGAAAAAAGATTAACACCCGATTGCAATACTCTTGCTGATCGCAAGGGTAGAAAAATCCAAATTTTAACCCCTATGTTCAAAACTCTTTAATTTTTTCTTGACACTGAGAAAACGTTCTCGTTTTTCGAGACTACCAATCACAACCATTATGCCTTCAGAATGATACCTCACTTAGTCTCTTATAAGCTTCCCTAGGAATCATCAAAAGTGGAGACAAAAAGCCGATTATGATATAATTTTTCAAATTTGTTTTACAAATGTCATCTTGAATGCAAAGCTAGGTCTCAACTTTTTTAAGCTTTTGGCGCTTCTCTTTTGTCACTCCCCCTTTCACAAACTATGAGGTCAACTTTAAAACAACTGACCTTTCAATGGCAAAAAAAAGTTCTACCAAATTTTCTTAGCAACTAGTCATTACGGTAGTAAAATACTGATGATTCAATTTGAGGTTTTCATAATTTCGATATGTGAAAAATTCCTATTTTCTTGAAGCGAACTAAAATCTTCTTTGATCTATTCCATATTCTGTAGTATTAGTGTTCTTCAGTATTACTCAACCCAATTGATGGAACTTGGGCTGGCTGACTCACCTTTGCAAAAACTTAGCCCACTCTTCGGCAAAAACTTCAGCCCAATCTTGGCTGCAAACTCTGATCGCATTTTGGTCCATTTATTTAGATCCATTTGATCCTTAGTTGGATGATTGCAATCTAAATTCAACTTTTGAACTAACTTGATTCAAAAATGAGATTCAAGAGAGCCAACATCCATGAATCTGCCATCTGAAATTTTGCAGGTGTCATAACACGAACAATCGCTATCTAGCAGAAATTTTCCTCTGCTTTCTTGGGTAAAAATAGAATCTTTGAGTGGACTAGAAACTAAGTTACATACGCAGCTTCTGCAGTAATACTAAACATTTGGGCAAAAATCTTGTGAAACTAATACCAAGATAAAATTGATTACTCTGAAGTCCTTGTAAAGTCTGAAATTATATACACTGAGGCTCAGAACAGCTTCGAGTGACTATCAACACAATGCAAGTGTAGCAGTGCAAGCTAGCGAACAGAAACGGACACAAAAATCACTATGTCAAAAGCATAAAAAATTGAAAAAAAAAATCCAATTTTAGAAAAAACAGCCATAAAGCATTGATTAGCGTTAAATCACGAGCGATTAAGTTTCAAAAACTGATTTTTTAGACCACAACCGTCCTGAAATATCAAAACCGAAGGAACTCAAATACTGTTCTTCAAACGACACAAACTGAGTTGACTAAGCCTGTAAAACATAATCTGAACACATTTTAGTTTAAAAATCATAAACTTTTTCAAAATCCGAACTGTTTAATATATAACACAACACGACGACTACAATTAGAGTAGAAATAGTAGAACTGTTGGGTTTTGTTTAAAAAACCAAAACAATATTTAAACAAAACCCAACAGTTCATGCACTGAAAAAACAACAATGTCCGACCTTAGTCGAAAGAAAAAAAATAATTGAAAGACAAAAATCCAATTTCACAAAAACTGTCGAGAAAGCCACAAAGCATTAATTAGCTTTTAATCACGAGCGTTGAAGTTTCAAAATATGACACTATTAGACCACTACCGTCCTGAAATATCAAAACCGAGAGTAATCAAATGCTGCTCTTCAGACGATACAAAATGAGTTGACTAAGCCAGTAAAACGTTATCCGAAAACATTTAAATTTAAAAAAAAACTATTTATTTTATAATATAATAATTTTCTCGACACTGAGAAAACGTTTTCTATTTTCAAGACTACCAATCACGACCAATATGACTTCAGAATGATACCTCACTTAGTCTCTTATAAGCTTCCCTAGTAATCCTCAAAATTGGATACAAAAGCCGACTATGATATATTTGTTCTTTTTTTCAAATTTCATCTTAATTGCAAAGTTAGGTCTTCATTTTTTGTTCTTTCGGCTCTTCTCCTTTGCCATGACCCACTCACAAAAGTTGAGGCCAACATTAACATAACTGACTCAAAAAGGGTATGACACAAAATGTACACAAAATTTATTTAGTAATTAACCTAATTAACCACTATCGTACGAAAACACTGATGATTTAATTTGGGGTTTTCATAATTTCAATATGTGACAAAAATAATCCTATTTTCCTGAATAAATCGAATTTCGTCTTTGATGTATTCCATTTTCTGTAGTATAGGTACTAAATCCAATTGATGGAACTTGGGATGACTCATCATTGTTTATAACACCAGGTGTTCTGCGGAGTTTAGAAGCTGCAAGAGTACTATCAACTCCAGACTTAGTTTGAATACACCATTCGTCTGCAAGATTATGCTTCAATTCATGAGGTTCATTCAACTCCAAAAATGAAGAAACACACGCATCTTCATAGGCAAAAATTTCAACCCAATCTTTCATTGACTTTGTAGAAAAATTCGCTTCAAACTCTGATCGCATTTTGGTCCATTTATGTCCATCCAATTGATCTTTAGTTGAATTATTGTAATTCAAATCCAACTTTTGAGCTAAATTGACGCAAAATTGAGGCTCGAGGGAGCCAACAGCCATGAACCTGCCATCTGATATTTTGTCGGAGTCATAACACGAACATCCGCTATCTAGCAGATTTAATCCTCTGTTTTCTTGGGTAAAAAAAAAGAAGCTTTGAGTGGAATAGAAACGAAGCTATATACGCAGCAGCACCTGCAGTAATACTACAATCTATTACTTGGCCTTTTCCACTGTTCATTCGCTCTATAAGGGCCATGACAAGGCCAAAAGCGCATATTAAGCCCCCACGGGCCAAAGCACCCAGCAGACTTTGAGGAGGGGTAGGTTTAGAGTGCGCTCTTCCAAGTCTACCGAGAACTCCCGAAAGCGACAAAAGTTGATGTCATGGCCCGCCATTGAACTCCAAGGGCCTGTTTGTCCATAGCCACTCAGCCTACAGCAATTTTTAATTAAATTCCAAGAGCTTGTAAGCCATCTAAATTGGGGTAAAAATCTTAGGAGAACATAGCGCTGCAGCTGTGTGAAACTAATACCAAGATTAAATTTATTACTCTGAAAACCTTGTGCGGTCTGAAATTATATACACAAAGGCTCAGAACAGCTTCGAATGACTATCAACACAATGCAAGCGTAGCAGTGCAAGCTAGCGAACAGAAAAGGAAACGAAAATCACTATGTCAAAAGCATAAAAAATTGAAGAAAAAAATCCAATTTTAGAAAAAACAGCCATAAAGCATTGATTAGCGTTGAATCAGGAGCGATCAAATTGCAAAAACTGAAACTTTTAGACCACAACCGTTCTGAAATATCAAAACCGAGTGTAATCTAATTCTGTTCTTCAAACGACACAAACTGAGTTGTCCAAGCCTGTAAAAACATAATCCCAAAACATTTTAATTTAAAAAAATCCATAACTTATTCAGATCCGAACTGTTTAATTTATAAAACAACAGGACGACAATTAGAGTAGAAATAGTTTAACCGAAAAAATATGCTTCCGAAATTATGCCGACAAAAATAAATAGACAAACGAAAACCCAACTATTTATGCACTGAAAAAAAAACAAGGTCCGACTTAAGGGTGCAGAGGCAACTGTGTTACCTCTAGAGCAAGTAGAAGGGAGCCTGGCATTTGTTACGATTCATTAAAAAAGCAAGTTCAATTTGTTTCATATTTGTAAGAAAATTTGTTCACTGGAAAATCTCTAGTTCCCGATTACAAGACAGTTGCTTTCGCAAGTGTAATTTAAGAAAACGAATTTCATGACACTTGCTCTTACATTTGTACTTTAAAAATTCAATTTTTTTGGTAAATTTTCTCCTTTATCTTCATTTTTAAAAAATTAAATTAAAATACTATATAACGTCGGATTGTCAAAAAATGCCACTTCTACCTCACATAACTGCTTATATACCAATTTCCTCTATTTTTTTCCAAATTAAATTGCTCAGTAACACCTAAACAGTAATTACCTTGCATATATAAGCGCTGGGTTGCATTCCATGGCAATATCGGGTCCCAGTCCCATTCGCTCCATTGTTCCTGATCTGAACGGCTCAATAAGTACATCGGATTTCTCTATAAGTTCTTTCGCAATTTTCATTCCATTCTTACTCTTCAAGTTCACAGAGACTGACTTCTTATTATCAGCCAGCACATCTACCCCAAAATTTGGTGCTGGTAATTTGTCTAAACGCGTTACAGATGCTCCATGATCAGCTAGAATCTTCCCGCAAAATGGACCCGGAGCAAGTCCAGCGAGCTCAACTACCTTGACTCCTCTCAATGACATCAAAATCTGCAATTCCGCAAATCACAATTGTTATTTCAATGCTACCCAAATATTATCCTTTTCGTCTCTTAAGATTGAGAACAGATCCTGATTGCGGTTTATTAATTCAGTCAATGACTTGAAACCCAAGTGGTGCAGGTCGATGTATTGTTTGTGCATGTTGAAATGATGTGTTTGCAGTGAATTTATTCTAACAGTGCCTTCTCTTGTCAAAATAGCACCTATATTTCTACGTATTCTGTCTTCGGATAAGTGATTGTTTAACTCTAACCAATGTGCCTTATTGGTTTGCACAATTGATTCTGAAGGATACAGCATGCAGACTTCACCAGGGTGAACAGTTATGATTTCTTCCAAGAGTAGAAAGATGTCTTTGACAGTTGAACACATGCAAGAGCTGGGCATCAAATCAACTCCGTTCTCCTCACAGTATTCATACAAAAATGCATCTAGAGAAACCCCATTTGGGTGATTTTGGATCAAACTGCTGACATTTTCCCTAATATGCGCCGGAACAAAGCCAGGAGTTCGCCTGTTGGCAACTTTCTTCTGTAAGCCGGAAGGTTTTCTATGACTTCCAGTTCTGGTTTTAACATTGTTAGGGCATTCCGGGTACGATAAAGCACCCCTAAAACTGCTTGACAAACCCTTCTTTTCAGCAAGCACGTACTGATTTCCAGAACCATATTTAGACGGAACACATTGAATGCGGTCAGGAAATCGCTTCAAAAAGTCGTCTAAATTTGCGCAATTGAATCTTTGCCAAGGAACATCTCTTCCTACAATGAAACTGTACTCTGACATCAAATCACTCGTAAGCATTCCCTCTCCTCCGTTCGAGGCAAGGACAGCAATGATATTTCTTATAACATCTTCACTAGAATTTGGAAGGCAATCATTGATAGCTTGAGAACGCTGAGCCATCGTAACCTAAAATTGTAGATTAAAAATCATTCAAATAAAAAATACCGGTTCTTTCCCATAAAAGCTTCCCCATTCTACTAATTTAAAAAACATAAGCCCTATGAAAGACAATCAGACGTTCGAAAAAAGCCAATATGGAAAGTTCATAGTTATAAGAACTAAACTCCTTGCGAGAATGAATAAGCAAACGGAAGATTGCGATATCACAGAAAACAAAACTCTGACAATAGAAAACATTAAAAAAAAACAAATCGCGTGGCAAGACCTTAATTTTCTGGAAGATACCAAAAACATGGACGAGCCAAAGTCATCAAACACACATTATTTCCTTCATTTATTTTTGTTCCGGCTTTCGTACAGCCACATGACATAGAAGTTGCAACTTTTTGATTTCATTTAGAAACTGAACGAACTTTTTCTTCACGTTTTGTTCGTTTTCTCAGCAACTATTCAAGATACAAGAGTCAAATTTTGACGAAATGTAGATGAAACTATTTGAAAAGGCTTAACCGGTCCAAAAACTTAAAAACCGTGTTTTGAAGGCGTAAATTAGCCAGCTTATTTCAAGTAGTTTTACAGGTTTTCTTCGTGTGGAAACAACCTCAAAAACGATATAAGGAATTGAATTTAATGGGCTCAAATTAGTTCTGTGGGAAGCTGGTGAGCTTGACTTACTCATTGTATTGCCTTAAAATGACAAATAACCGATGTAACAGAGTTACTTGGTCCGGCGTAAGAAAACGGCTATAATTTTATGAAAAAATTCGCGCTGATGATAGAATTCAGTCAACAAAAGAGATATTCCAGCAAATATTTTGAAAAACACTGCTCCAATCTAAGCACAGGAGTCTCATTAGCAGGTGTGTTGTGTGTAAACTTTGTCCAATTTTCTGGTAAAAGCTCCAAAGAACTCTTAGTGCATGTGTCGTGAAAACAGATATTACCGGTTCTCGGCGCCGGTCCAAGTAACTCTGTTAATTCTGCTATTCGTTATTTTTGAGCAACTTAATGAGTAAGTCAAACTCATCAGCTTCCCAAAGAACTAACTTGAGTCCAGTAATTCGAATTCCATATATTGTTTGTGAGGTTGCTTCCACAGCAATAACACCTGTAAAATTAGTTATGATAAGCTGGCTAATTAACGCCTTCGAAACAAAACTTTTCGATTTTTAGACCGGTAAAGCTTTTCAAACAATTTCAACTACCTCTTGTCAAAATTTGAATCCTGTATCTTAAATATTGCAGAGAGGACAAACAAAACGTGAAGTTCGTTCATTTTCTCGTTGAAATCATTGCAACTTCTATGTTCCGTGACTGTAGAAAGTGGCGGAATATTTGTGCTCGAGGTGGTTTATAAATACTGAATGACTCATAAATTTACCGCTTGAAAAATGCGTATGCTAGCAAAACCTGTAAGAACGTGATATTTCCTGAAAAGCATTGAAAAACTATTTCTAGTGCAAAAGACCCTACAGAGAGTGATTGGTAATTTGAGTTTATTGCATTTTGGTTTTTAAACGTGTGCTTCAATTATTGTACAAAGAACTATGCGTCAAAACAGTACAGTGTAAACAAGAGGAAATGTGGAACATCTTTAAGAGCACCTCGTGTTTTCAGTCCGATCTTCGGTAAAAAAGTCTATAGCAAGAAAAAATCTTCTAGCTGAGAAGAGTCTCTGATATTTCCAGTGACATAGGCTGAATTTGCCATCTCGATAGCCACTCTAACTCGCTGATGTAGGTAAGAGGCGGCTTTCCGCTCTTCCAGCTCGTTTTTCAAAATTTTACTGAGATTCTTGAGGAAAACGAGAGTTGAGGGGCCGTAATTACCTTGGGTGTAGAATGCGAGCGGCTGGAATAAGTAGACAGATTCTGTTAGCTCGTCGTACTTTCTTCTTTTTTGTCGTCTGCGGTTAGTGTAGCTGTTTCTGACAGACCAGAAGCAAGTCACGCTGGCGATGGAGAGTCCACTACAGTTATATCCCAGATGAGACAAAAACCTCTGCTCCACGTGCTGGTTGTCATTCAATCGGGTCTTTTTCAATCTTGATCGCAGAGTCCGGGTGGTTCAAGAACTGACGGTACGTGAACAGTGCCAAGGGCTTGCTTGAAGAGAATTTTCAGGACGGTGTGTCTAGAGAAACGACCAGAGCTTTTGACACAAGACAAAGCGTGAGTTTCTTGTGTCGAGACTGCAGTTCCACAGACGCAGGTATGCGGTTCGCAAACTTTTGCTCCGAGTCTCCAAGCAACGATTATTTTCAACTGTAGGTTCGTAAACTTAAGTCCAAGATTTGCTGAAGGCAGAGCGTTTAGCCAAACTCAACTGTGTTTGCCCTCGCAAGCTGATATCCGGGTTTTAGCTTCATCATTCGATGAAAGTTTCAGAGTTTTCAACTGTTCTTTGTGGCAGGGGCGCGTCCAAGACTTCTGTAAGTGGGCATTTTCCTGGGTTTCTGTGCAATGTGAGATTTCAAACCATATGAAAGTAGCATGAGGCTCATTCAGAGGCTCGAGGAGGATCATCATGGAAGTTTGTCTGCAAACAACTGCTGATGCCATATGGGCAGAAGGTGCAAGGAGCGTTGCTGACTCAATACCAAGACCACTTAAGTCGCTCATAAATAGTTCCATATTGAACTGAGGCAAGATAATTGGTGTGTTACTTAACTCTATGAACATCTCTAGTACTTTGCATATGGTGTGGGAAAGAATTTTAAAAAATATATTTTCTAATGAAAAAATTTATTAAATTGAAAACTTAAATAGATGAAAATTACAAGATCAGGTCTGTGCTAAAATAAATTATGACAAGCCACTAAGTCATGTCTACCAAAATTTTCATACGTTTCTATCAGCAATGAATAAGCCTTGAAACCAAAAATTATAAATCAGATAAAAAATGTAACATTCGCCCGGAAGATACATATCGACGGATAACAAAACTAAGTCTTAAAACGACTGGCTAGCGTCTAAACAGAGCCTTGCATGTTTTTCACCGTCTCTACCAAGCCAGTACTTTTCGGTGGTCTTTCTTACATCGGGTCGACAAAAACGTTACTGCTCTCCGGCTTCGACCAGAACGCTCAAATTAACTGAATTACATGCAAAAATAGTGAGCTCATGGCTGGGTCTCTGTATCCCCAGACCACGAGGTCACTCCTAAAAACAGGGCTACTACTTATCATATTACTATTGTTTTTGTTCAGTAGATAAAAATCATCATCTCCATCGAAGATGGATCAACCCTTTCCCCCAACTCCTAGCTTCTCATCTTAGTAGAATGAATTCAGATGTTAATTAAATTCAACTCAGGACATGACAGGATGCTAAAAGTTTATGTGAGTTAATAAAAGTTTCCGTCCCGAGACCCTTCCGGATTCTTGAATCCGCTGAATCAAGCTCCTTACTCTTGATTTCTTGCTAATCCGGAAGGCTGGTTCTCACCCTTCACCGTTGTTGGCAACGGCCTTGCAACTATTGTAGCAGCACAATAGTTGCAACTCGGAACGCTCTCTGCTATTCTGTAGTTCGTTGTCGTTCTCCAATCTCGATTTTCGTACTGTTCGCAATCGCAGATAAAAGTTGTTCTGTTTTTCACTCGCTTTTTGTTAAAATGGCCGTTTCAGCATTTCTCAGAAATGTGACGTCATCAATTAAATTTTTGAAAATTTAAAATACTAGAATATTCTAGCCCTCACCGTTTGGCTAAACGTTCCAATAACGTCGCTAATCCTTCGAAATCATCAACTCGGAAGGCTTACTGCTCAAAATTCGAATCCTGCATAAATTGCATTTTGGCCATTCTGGTCGAATGTCACAAAATTGATATACTGGGACAGCCGCGGTGGTCCCCTGCAAATTATCTTGACTGGATTGTTTTACCATTGCTACCACTCGTGGACACTAGTGGGTGTACACAGGTTGGTGGATCATATGATTGTAAATGGAGCAAGCTCCCTCAGAAGGACCCTTGACTACCTACCCTACGATCTGAAGGTAAAGTATCGAAGATTCAATTTTGCAAAATCGGGACTAATCCTCAACCCAACCAACGTGAGTAAATTCAAGAAATTGCAGTGGTTACTTAGAAAAGGTTCCCTAAAATCCAGAGAAACCATTCTCTGGCACGACGTGATAAACAATTGTATCACAAAGCATCCCAAAAACTTTAATACGAAGTGTTCCCCGGAGCAGTTAACTGAAATCATCACGAATTTTCAGCATCAAATATGCGATCATATACATTCGTCGAGACAGTACCGCTCACATTTATGAAAAAATACGGAAGACGAAACCTCTCATCATCGACGCGATAAAACGACTTGTTCCTAAACAAAAACAAATCGACATCGATACAGTTGTTTTCCTCTCTAAACTACATCCCCTACGTCTCTTGAGCTGAAGTTGCTCAACAAAGTACTTTCGAAACGTCACAACCTTCGTTCACTAGTACTTCAGCAAAGATCAAAATCAAGAGTACGGCCCACCAAATCAAAGAGAGCAGCAGCAACAAAAAAACAAGCATCCCAATCCTCATCTTACTAGTTCTGGTAGGTCTGATTTTCTTGAGACTAGTCTCTCTTGAGGTTTTTATACCTTGGAGTGTTAGTTCCAGGAATTATTAGAGTCCTAGGAATAAGAGTTATTTTTGAGTCCTATTATTAGAGTTCCTGCTGTGCTGTATACCTTAGAGTATCAGTTCAAGGGAATAAAAAAACTCAATAAGTTCTCTCTAGACTGGTTTTCTCCGGAGGTTTTTATACCTTGGAATGTTAATTCCAGGAATTATTAGAGTCATAGGATTTTGTGAGCAATATCCTCATCGCACTAGTTCTGGTGAGTCTGATTTTCTTGAGACTAGTCTCTCCTGAGGTATTTATACCTTGGAGTTAGTTCCAGGAATTAATAGAGTCCTTTTTATACCAGGAATTATACCTTGGAGTATCAGTCCAAGGGAATCAAAAAACTCAATAAGTCTTCTCTAGACTGGTTTTCTCCTGA